AGCTTTATTTTACACACACGAAACAACCCTAGCCCTTTGAAGCACTAGTAGTGTCTATGAGTTGAAATGCTTACAATAGGGCATTAATTTGAAATTCATCCAGCTTGCTGACATCTGTGACTAACGACAGACCAGTTCAGCCAGTGTTACTTGTTTTGACTTAACAATGTGAGAGTTTCAGTCAAAAATAAACTCAAAAAATACCCTACTAGGAGTTTCCCTGATCTCAGTAACAACTAAAGGCAACACATGCCACCAGGAAATGTAATGGTACAATCACAATTTTACAGGCATCTCAGAATGAATGCACCAGCCACTTAATATTCTGGCCACTCAGCTATTACAAAGAATAGTAGGACAATAATTTGATTTAATGAAAGCTTTTTCCTTATTTATCATAGACATAGCTTATGTTGTCGTGCAACTTCAGTATGAACCACAGAAGTCACATAAATTCTGAAGTATTAAATCACAAGAGTTGCAGGGATCGGAAAACATTCTTCCAGCAGATGCAATGTTGTATAACGTGCTAGATGTACTGTTAATATTTCTACTCTCCTCTAAATCACAACATTGTCAGGGAACACAAGCCAACCTAGGGAAACCTGGTACAATATTTTTTTTATGCTGCTGTAGCAGCATAAAATGAAATGATGAAATTAAATACTTAGAATCACTAAATTTTTCCTTTATTATTTACTTCGGATCCATTCTGTCACATAAGAATGTCGCAACATCATTTCTACTTTCAATCAGTAACTAACTAGTAACAAGATTATAATAAACACCTGTAAAGGATGTATTTACATGAAAACTGTAAATTTTGCTAAAAATTATATTGTATTAAAATACAGTATGAACCTCCCAAGACTACATTGGCTCTATTCTAACTTGCAATATCAACTGATATAAGAGCAGCTATTTCACATTTAAACATCTGGCACCAAAATCAGCTACAAAAATATATGCTAAATTGGTAAGAATTGATGTTTTTCAATTTTTTTTTTAAAGGAAAAAAGCAAATTATTATTTATGATTTCACGTACTCATTATTCCCTTATTTCAGCTTTTTTTATATAGCAGTAAGTAGTGTTTAATCAAAAAAATCAAAGATGAAAACATCAGAAACCCTAACAGACACACTCTGAACTACACAATCCTCCAGAAACAATAATAATTGTGAAAATAGCAAACCTAACTGATCCAATCAAATGAGATTCAGACTGTAATGAGATACCAGACCTGACATCTACAACTGTTCTACAGTTTCCATTTTGTGTTCCTTACCCATTATTTATAAAACTTTTTTAGAAGCTTTGTAACTTCTTCTTTAACCAAACAATGTCTTTATCATTTGGCATAAATTTTGTTTTGATGTGTTTTCCTGTAACAGCAACATCAACGTGCCACACTCTATTTACCTTGTTACTTAGCATCACTGATGTCAGCACAGCATTGTAGGCTCAGAGTTATATACAATCTGTGAGTGTTAATTCGGACCATTGTTCTAAGAAGTTTACACCATTTTTTCTCAATATCACACATCCAAAAGATTTCAGAGGGCTGTCCATTTCATTATGGAAAAACAATGTAGTAAGTTTTTATCTTATATTTTGCTCCAATGACCCCAGCATGCCCTAATGCCCCAATTCTGCAAAGGAACATGCTGTATGTTCCCAGTACATAATTTCTTCTTTTTTTTTTTTTTTAAACAAAGCTTTCCAATCCAGAAGAGACTATTGGAATCAATCTGTCCATAGTCCCAGTTGTTGAAGTATGCCTCATTAGGGAGGCATTGGACTAGTTCAGCTTGCTGACTTTATCCCCTCTCAGCTTGCTTTCTCTCACCATACATTAAAAAACCCATAAGAATTAAGGACTGAAAAAAAGGCTGCATTTGTGATTCCCATGGTAATCACTGGTCCAGAAAGGAGCAGCAACGCATGACTAAATGGGGTAAGGGCTAGAACAAACAAGATAAATCAGTCACTTCTGATTGAGCATGCAGACACTGGTGGCCACAACAGGGCAGTGTAATCCAGCCTAGGACAAAGTGGCAGCCAAGGCTCAGTGGTGCACCCTCTGCAACACAACTGTCCCACTGCTTCCCTGATGCCCAAGCAGAAGCAGTGCTAGCGAAGGGTTCCCCAGAACAGCTCCTGAGCCAGCACCTCACACACTTTCATCTTTCTCCAGATCTGGAGAGCACAAAGCCTTCCATAATGAAGCTCCTGCATCATTCAGAAAGCAGTTCCCTTTTCCTCACTACGAAACTACCCAAAAAAACCCAGCAGCTGCCTTCCCATTGCCCTAACAGAAACAAAACCTGCAACTAACCAGTATCATTTTTTCAGTGCTTAACCCTTATTCTTACTACTCTTTCCACAGGTCCTCTTAGTGTTTTCAGCAAAAAGTAAAAACAGATGTAACCCTGCATTAGGGCATCAACATGTTGATTCAAAGTGACTGTCCTGTTAGCTGATGGAAAGTATGACTCAGAGTAATTCAAATTTACCTGAGAATACTTTGTGACTGCAGAAAAACATAAAAACAACTACTACTGCAGAAGATCACTTTCCACTGTTTATAACTTTCCAAGACTTTACCCTTTTCAGTCAATATCCTCTACCATGTGTGTTTAGCCCAGAATTTAGTATCACTTTTAACAACTCAACCAGAAAACAGGGAAACAATTCTCCCCCCAAGATAGAGAACCACTTGTACCTCTTTCAATAGCGGCTCTAGTAAACTTACTCTCTCACTAGAAAATGGCTTTGCTATTCCAAAACAAAACAAAACGAAGTCACTAAATTTCAAAGTCACTATCCTTGCAAAAGAGAGAAATTTCTAAGTCATTCCTGTGTGTGACTTGCATTCTTTTCAAGTTGACCAGTTTGTACAGGTACTGCACAAATTTACAGGAAGTCAGCATGCACAAGCACAGGGGCAAAGACAGAGTAATATGTCCTACGGAGCAGTTGTCCCCTTCAGCTCCAGAAAGACGGGCCCAGGCACTGTGATGGAGACTTTGTTTGCCAGAGGAACAGAGTCTGTTGAGAACAGCATTTTACAGAAACGGACCTGGACTGGTTCTTTTAAGACATTTCTTGCAAGAGCTGGTGTCCAAAGATTTTCATTTTTTTGTTTAACAAAATGTTTTTCAGCTTATTTTCCAATACTTGATTATGCCCTCCCACTGTTCTAGTAGGTACTGTTCCTTCCCTTGTTCTCAATAATTCTTGAAATCCTGACAAACTGAACCAGTTTATATATTAACAAAAGTCCTATTTTCTAATAGCACATAATTTGAATAAGCACTAGTTACTGAACTAAAGCCTGGAATAATGAAGCATTACAATTTTAAGACTTCCCTAACTTGTTCACTTCAAAAACCAGTTTGACAACTTGAGGGCTCAGAAACCCTATGAAAATACCATGGCTTAAAAAAATTCAAACAGCTGACCTGCAGTTGATACGCAACTGTAGTAGTTCACCAACTACACAAATATTTGTAAACAAGAACATGGCCTGGGGTGTGATAGGGGAGAAGCAATTCTGCAATTTTGGGGAGAAAAACCTGCAACATTTTTCTGGAGGTCAGTGTTTGTTAAAACAGATTTACACTAAGATCTTAGGGAAAGTAAAATTAGGTACAAATTGTAGTCAGACAAATGCTAAATGGAAGCCTGAAAGAGAAGGTCACGGAAATAAATGTCTTAAAAACAGCTTATGTTTGCTGCCTATCTAAAGAAATATTCATTCAGTTAATCAGAACCACATCAAAACATCACAGCTGCTGACAGCCAAAACACTCTTTGATTTCAATGGGAAAGTTTGGTGCTTCAGGAATGGAGAACGATCAGAGCTATAACAGGAAGATGGGATAAAAAGAACATACTAAGATCACAGCAGCCTATTAGTTTTTTCATGTTACATACTATATGTTCCCATGTTAAGTAGTTACTTAGGGATAAACCAAATAACCAAATGAAAGTTATATGTAGAAAACAGCTAGGGAACTGGATGAAATTAACAACTGAGTATGTGTTTACATTTTTAAGTGAATAGGAACATCAGTAAAAGAAAAAAAAGCTGTAGCTAAACACTGCTAAGTATAACTTCTCTTATCCCATGCTGTTTTGTCATTATATTCACATATTAGCTACCACTCCAAATTTTAGACAGATTTGGAAAGAAACAATGTTTCTCTCAGCACTGATAGCTTCTATACTGCACTGTGAATTATGGTACAACAGAACCAAGGACAATAACTGTCATTTTAGGCAGTCATACGAAAACTTAAAGATGGATCTTGGAATTATATTTATATACTGCCATCCAACTAATTTTCTCTAAAGAAAGAAAAAAATCTTAGAAAGGCATATAAGAAGAATTATTAACAAGGTATTTCAATATATCATAGAACAAAGGCTCTCCTTCATCTAGTCACTAGCACAATTCAATAGGAATCAAAATCCATGCAGTTTGGACACCTCATTCCCCAAAAATCTTTAAAATATCTCAGTGTGCAAATGAATTCTTTTCCTCTTTTGCTTAAGGTTGACAAAGGTCAGATCGGTTATACTAACAGTCAAGAACTGATGCTGATGCCACTGCAGCAACCATAATAGGTCACAGGATGCAAGTACGCTGCAGCTACAATGTAGATGAGATGGAGCTGCTACCCACTTACCACTATTAACAGTTCATTTGAGCAATTTTACACTTCAAGTACACCCACTGAAGGAATCATAGAAGAACTTAAAAGGATTACCATTTATACTAAAAGAAGGGCTATCTTTCATTTTATGGTTTTTAAAAAGAGTACCACCAAGTACACATGACGACAATTAGCCTGTCTTACTTAAGATACTAAATGAGCTTTTATATTGTAATTGAATTGCTCAAAATAAAAACATTTCCCTGTTTCACTGTAAGAGTTTTAGCAGGTTTGAAAAAGGGACTTAAAAATAGACGAAATTAACACAAGTCAGTCATACCTTTAACCACAGCTTCTTTATACTTTTCTTTGGCAGAATTTACTTCTTTTATTAGTTGTCTATAGCTAGATTTTAGTTTCTCTAGTTCAGTCTTTGTGACCTTTAAGAAAATAGAAATATAAAAAGCATTAAAAATACTTATCTCAACACAAAAAAACCTTATAGCATTAGTGAAAGAGAATTAACAGGATTTATTTTCCAAAATAAGGATGTTACCACTTTCCATTGGTTTGAGATAATCTTAATAGAATATTACATGGTGTAACAAAATCAGAATCAATAAATGCATGGAATGAAATAAAAGGCTTGAAACAGAGATCCCCATCCACATCAGTGTAATGAAAAATATGTTTAGGAAATACAGCTTATCATAAACACTATTGCATTTCAATGACAAGGGAAAAAAAGCACCAAAAAGATGCTTAATAAATCATACTACATGAAAAAGTTCTATGCATAGGAAGGAAATCCTTTCACATCTTAAAAAAAAAGCAAGATGGAAGAATTTTTAGATGTTACAGTTCATATAAATGGCTGTGCATACAACTGTGCATGAACCAATCTACCTGTTGTAAGACTTTAATCCCTAAAAAGCAAAAGAAACCAAGCCAAAAAAATCTGAAACAAAACCAAAACTACAGTGGAACACAGCACTGAAAAATCTTTTTGCAGGTGAAGCAGCTCCACTGAACATGACCTTTTTGGTCAAAAAATTAAAATAAAGTTGTCTCTTATATCCCCAACTCTCATTCATTGTGTGACAAAACTAGTGCACTGTTCAGAAATAATCACAAATCATGAACTTGCAAACAAAAGCTAATAACAAACCAGCCACTACAATACCAAAAAGGTGGCATATATAGTAAAAGCTCTGACAAAAAGAAAAATACACTCACAATGGGAAATCGTGGAAGAGGAACTTATTTTAATGGAAGTGCTCCCCTCATTGAATGTGCAGAAAAGGAATTCCGTTCTACAGAAAAACTGTTCCTCTTGCAGCAGGCACGAAGAAGGCTGGAGTTCACAATTCTCCCTTCTCTCATGAGGCAAGGCCCAGATACCACTACTTTCACCCTCAAGAATGACATCTGGAAACTTAATGGAATTCCTCAGAAAGCCAACAAGGTGCTACCTATAGTTTCAATTTCTGGGCCAACTGTGCTAAGATTTAATTTAAAGGCAGGAACTTTTCTCCACATCAATCCCATATTCTTATCTCATATTTCTACACACTGTAAATTATACTCACAACTGTTGTTATTATAGACTAACAGAGGTGATACAGGAAAAAACAACTTCAGGACAAACTTGTATTATAAAGACACCGCAAGAAATGGAAAAAAAGATGAAATTAGGAAGTAGTGAACACAATTAAGACATAAACAAGGAACTGCTTCTCTTACAGAAAACTCGAGAATAAAAGGTAGGCGATAGTATTAAGAAACGTTTGTAATAATTGCAAAATATATTTTACTGATTCTTAGACTGCGTTCTTCCAACAGACTAAAACAAAACCAAGAGCACCTCTGTCCCCAAATAACACTTAAGGAACTAAGATGGTCAAGGATTATCTTAAATCTAGTTTTTATATCAAAAACCCTTACCCACGTAACTAGCATAGTACTCTACTTTTTCTCCTCAAATTTCATGAAGAAAGAAAAAATATCCAATAACTTAATGAGAATTGGAATAAATCTACAAGATATGAGTCTTACTACATTTCTGTAAAAGACATGGTATTTCACTGTCGTTAAGAATTTTATCAAAAAGATTCCTCATAGTAGAGGTGTCTAGAATAAGAAAGGATGATACATATGCATTTCACCTAAAGGAAAACACTTTTTTTTTTGCCAGCTTATCATAAATATATGAACTGCACAGCCACTGATCTTCACAAGGTTTGGGCAATGTTCTGGGAAATAGTAAGTATTTTGCTTCTGTGTGTAACAAAAGCAGAAATAATACCACAGAACATGATAAGTACTTTGAATTTCTGGGAACTATTCTGTAAGTGCTCCACTGACACAAAACCTTTGAACAAACAATGTCAGCTAACAATGAAAGAACATATCATATCTAACCAGAATGCTATTCAAATGCTTCTTATGAAAATCAGGAAGGCGGGGGGGGCGGGGGGAAAACCACAACAATGCAAGCTTATTCATCAGGATGCGAAACACTTGCACGGCCATGCGGCCCCATAATTAATTAAAATCAATATGGTCTGTAATTAATAATTTGGGTAGTACTCAATATGCACTGTATTTTTTTGAAAAAGCCTTATTTTAAAAGACAGTTTTATTAGAGATTTTATTAGAGTTAAGTTATTAACAGAAAAAAAACATGTTTTGCACAGTGCCTTTTAAAAAAGTATACCTGAACTTCCAGCAGTCTTCTTTCATCTAGCCTCTCTTTCTTACATTTCTTTCTTCTTCCATTTCTCCAATTCTCTATACATTTAACCTCATATTATTTCTAACATATGCTACCAGTTTTTCCTCCTCTTCCATCTTGGCTGTTTTCAGATGCACCAATCCATAAGCGGCTGTGAGTGATTATTTGGCTTGGAAATTTTATCAGATAAGACAGCCTGCTGACCATGCATCAGAAAGGATTGTCACAGGATGTACTCCTCATAGTCAATACCTGGGAAAGATGCCAAGATCCTAGCATATTATGGAAGTGGTCCTACTAGGGCCAACATATTTAACTTAATATATGTTTAGTACTAGTTTAAAGTTCTTCTCATAACTGGCCCAAGAATCCTTTACTCATCAGACCATGACACTTGTACTGTACTACTCAGATGTTACATTTTAATTACACTACTCCAAATGTCAAATTCTGTGCTGCAAGAAAGAAGAAACAGTGCTTCTCCTTCTCTCAGTAGACCTTTCAGACTATCAATCTGATTTTTGACATTTGCAGTTAAACTTCTCCCAGAGCACCTGGATGAAACTGTGATTTCTGTCAGCTTTACTAACTAGATACAGTGCTTTCAACATAAGCAGGACAACTGACATGTAATAGAAAAGGCCTTGAAGAGCTCCATCTGCAGCCTTAATGCTTGGTTTACACTTGATTTATATTTTAGAATTAGGGACTAGAATCCTGTCCCCACTCAAAACAGTCTGGACTGTCAAGAGCACTCATTAACAAAAGTTTTCAGTGCCCTGGTCCCAGGGATTTCTAGAGCTGAATGAGAACAGGAAGAGAGATGGAATAGAAAAGTGTCACAGACAATCATCCTCTACTGGAACAAGAGAAATTCCAGTGCTATCTGTCCACAGAAATTCATACAGAAGAAAGTTTTCCATCTCTGCCTTGTCAACTAGCACAGGAGAGAAAATGTGGAGGAAATAACTAAAATTTAAACTAGACATTCTACATACCACAAATTACTACTTTTACGACAGCACAAACAAAAACAGAGGAACTAAAAAAAATCCACCCTCGATATATTACTTTTTAAACTTTTTAAACATTCAATAATATAATTTATAATAAATTTATAGAGCACAGTTGAATAAAATACCTTGTACATCTCTGCTTCAATTTGTTGATGAACACCTACATAACTCTTCTTAACTTGCTGCTTATCTTTGATCATCATTGTAAGCCTATGCAAAGGCCCAGAATTAAGATCCTCTGCATGTGTCTTCATTATTTTGCTCAGCTGTTCTGTTTGCTGTACCACAAGCAACCAAGACTGTACAAAAAAGTCAGAACAGAAAAGCACTTACTTATTCCGGCTTACAAATATCCAAAAAACGAACATGAACTGTGGGAAAAGATGCATCACTGTTTAAAACAATTCAGTAAAAAAAGAATTTTAAACTTACCAAATGCACTTGAGATCTTCTAAAATAAAGTTCTTCCTGCTACAGCAAAATCATGCCTCGAACTTACTCATAAAGTTGTAAAAAAGCACCGGAGACAAAAATACAATGTTGTATGGTCACCCTTCAGCACTGTCCTAGTACTTCTGAACGCTGATGAAAGCTTTACAGCCTTTTTTGGAATATATCCCCGACACCCCTGACAAGCATGTTCCCATGTCCATTGTTCTCCTGTTTCCCAGCCACAGTTACTCTGTTCAAGCTGACTTCTCTGCCCTTGTCTAAATAGCTCACAGTAATATGCATTTGAGTGGTTACTGTTTAAAAGGATACCATTTGTCAGCTGCTTCACATAACTGACAGCATCAGAGTCAGGCCACCAGTATCAAAGCATAAGGTGCCAACAGGTTAAAAGACACAAGCAGTTACTCATCTGTCACAGTAACCCAACATCTTTCTGTACCCTTTCTTTAGTAACTTCCTTGGCCATTCTGTCAGTCAGTTTTCAGGACAGCTTAATGTGCTGCGTGCGGCTTTGAATTTTGAGTAAGAACTGTAAGGTAAACAGAGAGACTTCCAATGCACCACAGATATGAACACGAAATTAAAGTCTAGTTCAAATAAAAGCATTTGTCACCCTAAAGATCCCTGTCATACTTTGTTGACGGGAACAGTACTGGATTCCTTAGAGATAACCCCCTGACATTGAATGCTACGCTATATCTAAAATTTCAGAATGGCTACATGCCATACAACTATCAGGTTTTGAAGGCAGCTAGTATGCTAGTTTTACTAGCATTTATCCTACTCTTACTAAAGACAGAAATCCACCTTAGATCATCAAAACTTCAAAAATGAATTTGTTTGGTATCTTTGGGGTTTCCTTACATCTCATATATAAACATATATACATAGAATTTCCATCTCTATACTGAATTCTAGAAAAGGAAACAAAAGACAGTTAACTCCTGTACATACTATACCATCTTTAACATTTCCTTTAGCTTGTAAACATCCCACAAACTGGCAGAGAGCTATCTCAGACTGCTCGAAGTGTGGTGTTGTAAAAGGTCACGGCCTAAAGCTTCCCACCTATGGCTGAAAATTCCAAATGACATCAGAAGCCATATTGCAAAGCTGCATGGGATAAAAACATCATTAAATATCCATCTGAGAGGAGTGGGTCTTGTGGCTATAGAAGAGTTCATAAGAGCGCTCTCAGAAGTGAAAATGTAGTCAGGGTTCTCCATTTTTTTTTAAGGCTGATCTATTACTGATGAGACAAGAACTATTTCAGTCAACCCTGAAAATCACAGCAAAAGCATTTTTCAACAGGACAAGTACTCTGAAGAAATACTTAGCTCACAATTCACCAAATGAACATGAATAAGTCAGAAACATAGTGAAAACTTCCCTTTCCATTTTAAAAAATCATCTGCACGTTTTCCTGTTTTTACATCCCTCATTCCACACTGAGAAAATGTTGGTTAAACAGGATTTCTGTGTTTTGTATGATCACATTTTATTATTTTAAAAAAGGAAAGGCTAAAGTGAAAACCTATACTTAAGGAAAGGCTTCAAAAATTGTAATTTATATGGGACAGAAAAACAGCTGGGTGGGGATAGGAGAAAACGGAAAGCATTTCCTTTCACAGAAAATAACCACAACCCAGCAAAAGCAATAAAATATAATATTGTTTAACAGTATTTTTTAGGCATATACGCACACAAAAGAGCTGTTGGGATAAAAATACTGATTTTCTAGCATTAGCAGTTGCTGCCACTATGCCTTCCAGCAAGTTTGCTGCCTCTGCATGAAAAAAGCATAGGATAGATTTTCCCAAACACCATTCCTCTCAAAGTGCTCACTCTTACTCTACACTTAAAAAAAAAAAAACGACCCAAACAAACAAACCACTAAAAGATTAGACAGCTTGGTACTTGGTTTTGATGCCACATAATACCAAAAATTTAAGATACAGTTATTTTAAATCTTAGGAGATGTAAGATACTAGATATATGTCCCATAATATTTGGGTCATATTTGGATTCCGTAAAGTGTCAGGAAGGGATAAAAAGTATCATGAAATAGTAGAGTAAATTAGAATGAGGTGAGGAAAGTAATCAATAATTCAGACATTTTAACTGCCAAAAACCAATAAGACAATGTGTTACTACACAACTTTAAAATCCAAGGTCACAGTGAAATTTCAAGGCAAGCCTATACAAAAGGACTGTCAGTAGCATATGAACATTTTTGCTGTTATATAAAGACGTAGAGATCAGGGATGGGACTCGAGAGAAAAATGGCATCTACTTAGGACAAAAAAAAAAGAAAAAAGGAACAAAAATAATCCTGAAAGAACAACTTGACTGCCTATGTCCAAAACAAGATTTCAAAATATGACACACATGCCTCTCTTCAACCCAAAAAGAACATGGCTTAAGTCAGATCTTCAGCTTTTTAAAATTTATTTGCTGACAGGAAGTGCCGATGTCACTGACATGAACCGTCCTAGACTGAGCTAGCTACACGAAGGTTAAGGGTTGCTTATACCTTACAATGCTAAATATTCTGATGCCAATGCTCCTTTACTGTTCTAGCCCTAATCCACTCTGTTTCGTTGCCTAAAAGAACTGCAAGACAGTTTAGCTAGCACATAAGAGCAATTCTAGTGGGACAGCAACAGCAAGAATTATTAGTCATATCACCAACTTTATGATCCAACAGTAGAAAGCTTGAAGAAAATACCCGACTTCTGCCAATCTTAGGCCAATGACAATGCTTTAATATTTACCAAACTCATCACAACTTACATAGCAAAATCTGTAACAAACTGTGTATAAGAAATATAATTGCGTGAAAAGCATTTCAAATACACCACCAAAACACACAGATAAAAAAAAAAGTAGTACGTCAATTCACAAGACAAGAATTATTGTGAGGAAGGGAAGCAACAATAGAATTCGTTATAGATAAACACTGTGCAGTGCTACTTTTGGGGCAGCTGAAGCAGGCTAGCTATAGCAGCGCAGCTTTCAAGTCACACACACCGCCACTTTAATCCAGTATAAATCTAGACTGCTGCACAAGGAGCAGTCACATTCCTAATGCGATGCCACAGCTAGTATTCAAGCAGCCAGCCCATAAGCCCACTACATAAAAACTGCTTTGTCTAAAATTTAACTTGACCCAAAAAGGGTGTTTTCCTGCAGAGAGGAGATCAGGAATCATGCCAGACTGAAGGGACTGTGTAACCACTGCTACAGCAGAAGGGCCAAGAATTGAATAAGCCATTAAAACAAAATAGTTTTCTCTAGTCAGGAAGGAATCCCAGTCAGGAGTGAAGCTTAAAAACACTTGAAATAGGGAAGTTCGCTTCATTGGTACCTTTTCAGATTTAGAGCAAATCCAGTAAATTAATAATTTGGGGGAAGGACGGCCTTACCTTTAAAAAAAGTCAACACAGTTATTTTAAATTGGATACAAAATAACTTCACAATTATGAGAAACATCCTGAATTAGTGTCTTGTTTTTACAGCACACATTGCAGTGTGAATAACAGCTGGAATGCTAGGCTTTGCCTCGGTTTCCTGGCATTTTTCTATTTCTGTCACAAATTCTATATAACATAAACAATAGTTCCTATTTAACTGTCTTAAAAGAAAAGCCTACTATAGCATATTTATTTTCAAAACACTAAACAAAGTAGCAGGGTCAATCCAGGAACCTGAAATACTGAATTTTGAAATCCAGGATTGGTTCAAGTTCAGTTACTATTTTCAAAGCAAGACTGGAGCTCAACTTCTGCATATTCCAGTGAGGAACTAAAAGGAGCCCATTTTAAATACTTTGGCAACATTAACTCTCAAGAAGCTGAATGAACAGGAATCCAACTCAAACTAAAACAAACAAAAACAAACCCAGCACTGTTATTTCCAAGGATATTCCAAATTCAAAATACTTCAGTCTTACCTTGGACACATTGCTGATATAATCCAATTGACAAGTGTTCTCTTTATCTACTTGATTACAAAGATTCTGTAAAGTGGAGGCATACTCCTTATCACTTTTTACGCGCATGACCATAAATTTCTTCACCGTTTCCAGCAGTCGTAGTTCCCAGTCTTGCAGTTTTAATAAAGCATCATGAGAATACTTCAGGTCACCTCCAAACCCCATTTTTTAAGGCACTATATATCGCACAGGGGAAAATACAGGCTCTTCACCACATCTGAAAGCAGAACAAGATTCATGAGACAGGTATCAAAAGAAAAACTTCTAGTGTGACAAAGAGCAAATATTAATATCTAAACCCTGAAATAACTTAACCATAAGATTAACCACATACATATACCTCCTCAAAACAAACCGAAAGGAGGGTCAGAGCACTGTTTCAAACACCCATCTACAACCGAAAGAGATCTCAGGCCCATTACTGTCCTCCAGCTTCCATCTGCAAAATGTACCTCCCTAACTTAAAGTGGAGTTGTGAGGGAACACATAAAAGCATCTAAGACAGACACTAAAGACCAATCCACATACTTAATCAAATAAGTATAGTTGAGAATATCTCCAGACAAGAACTGCCAACGACACTGTTCCACTCCTGGTGAACAGAAACGTTTGTTTCTGGTGTTTACCATCCTAAGAGCACAGAAAAATCAAAATAAAACATCAGCTCTCAGGCACTGCATCTGTGGGAAACGGATAACAAGTTAGAAGATAGTTTGCTCCTAAACACTGTGTTAGCAGGCCATTAAACATGCAGATTCAACCTCCCAAAAATCAGAAAATATCCCAAACCAGGTTCCCCCTGCAACCGTCCATTGCTCCCCTAGGACACACAGTAGGGAAGAGACCTTAAGTTCACACAATTTTCCCCTAAGGCAGTCCAGTCTTACTGTACCAAATGGACATAATTTGATAAACAAATAGGAAATGCTGCCTTATAAAATCCTGTAACACAAGTGCAGGTCAAAGACACCTGTTTGAACTAGCTCTAAAACACCTGCATCTGGTAATGATAAACATGCAGCCACATCACGGAAGATCTGATCCCACACATGAAAGTAATTTCCACAGACTTGCATAGGTTTTGTAATGCAGGCTGAACCCTCTTTTCTGTGTATACACCAAAAACCGGTTCCTACACTAATCAGCTTCGAACTAGGTAAGACAAACTTACATAAAATGCAATTATAGCTCTGGACTGCAGTGCAGACACAGCCTGTGTACTGCTTATTCACTAATTCCTGCACTCCAGCCAAGTCTTAGCTCTTTTGAACACAGAAGTACCAATTTCTTCATAGGCTTCAAATTGCCACTTAAATTAGCAGAGTGTTTTACAAACATTAACAGATTTATCTTCCTAACAGCCCACGGGGTGAAGCAGGACTAATAATCTTATTTTACACCGACAACTGAGACACATAAACTAATGTCAACATTGTACCAGATAATACTGGTATGTACAAGGCTTAAAGACAGACCTTTCAGAGTGCCTAGCATTTTTAGCATATTAAGTATCCAGAAAAAAAATATGTTATTGGCTTCAGTTACCACACAGAATTTCAAAAGATTTTGCAAATCAGAACCTAGAGCGATCTCCAAGGTAGCCTGACTCCAGGACCGCTCCTCTTTTCCTGCAGTTCCCTGCCTCCATAAACTCTTCCAGTAAGTTACGGAAATAAGCCTCATCCACTACATGTTTATTCCCAGAACACAAACCATGCTACATAATGAAAGAAACAAAGATCCTGTAAAGAAAATAAGAATAGTGTCATGTTACTATACATCTACACAATAGAGACAAGTCAAGGTTGTATGAGTTAACACACAACAATGTATGCTAACATGTAACAAATGTATGAGTAACCTTAAATATATCACAAACTTTCACATGCTCTTTAATTTGAAGCTGTGTATTTTAGTCAGAATTTTTCCTGATGGCTAGGAGCTCAGTCATAAAGAGCAACAATAAATAATTCATGCTGGCTGTATTTATAAAGGATGGACTATGTCATTATTACTTGTATTAATGGTATTTTCACAGTTAAAATTTAAGAACAGTCTTGCAAAACCGCTAATACTTTAGTAAGACAAGCAAAAGCAAAAAATCTTCAAGCACCTACTCATTAACATGACTGGAGCTGCACTTGTGATTTTTCGAAGCCCTTTAGACCTATATCCACTTTTGTGATCAAGCTCATTTTTCTCCTAGCATGTTTTAGCACATTGCCTAAATATCCTAGCACATTAGCTATGAGAAAAGATAGTATCTTTATTTTCTTACATTCCAGATTCAGAAGAGATGGGAACTGAATCTCAGGATGAAGTCTGGCCTTGTGCTATGAGTAAAGTGCTGGCTTGCTTGCTCTTACTCTAACCTCTGTCTTTTACTGAGAGGCAGGAAGGTAAGGGAGGGAGGAAATAATCTCAGCATATGGTATTTCAGCCTACTTCTACTGACTCACTCTGGAGCTGTAAGATTACAAAAATCAATAGAACAGAATATCCAACAACATTTCACTCCAGCCTGATAAGCCTCTCTTCACGAAGTAGTAATTAGATTTTATCCAATTACACCATTAGATGCCTGGGTACATAGAGAAAAATTGTACATATACTGGACTCCAGTCTTTGTTTTAGATTATTCCATTCACCATGACAGAAGCAGGACAGCAAAAATTTGTTTTGCAAAAGTGATAAAATTCTGATTTGGTAAGACTAACAAGCATAAAGTCTCAGAGCTGATGATTCTCAACTGGGTAAGCCAGCCTCGAACACCTTCCTTGTAAATTAAGAAAATCTTCAATCAAAACATTTAGCAAAACTCAAATGCTCCAATATTGTGGAAGCAAAGAAGTGGTGAACAAGTATCCAAGACCTAAGCCACTTAATTGTCAATAAGCTAAAAACCAACACTTTTAATTAAAACCACTTTTAATTTTTTAACACTATTTAACACTTTTAAACAGCTGAAAACAGTACCGTTATCACACAGTCACTTACTTGAAGTCAAAAGTGTAAGAATTACCAAACACATGAATAGACTTGTTCTATGCAATCTGTATTTCAAATACTCTTAAAAAGCACAAGCACATTTCAAAAGGCCAATGTTCAAAGAGAGAGTATCTGGCACCAATACAGACAGGTATTTTTCCAAGTTTGCTATCTCCCTGCTTAGTGTGCACAGATGAGTTGACACCTGCCCTACAGGGTCAGACCAATAGAATAGAATATTTCAGTCGGAAGGGACCTACAGTGATCATCTGGGCACAATGATCCATTTAGATCAGCACTCTGTCTCCAACCATGGCACCAGGAGATGCTGTTTAAGGACAGCAAAAAAGTTGGGCTGCTATTTGTGACATGATCCTCCTTGTGCTTCCCCATGTTCACAGCTACATTCCACAGCTTCTGGATTACAGAAGAAATACTAATAGTCCCATTTTTTGGCTTTACCGTACAACATTACAATGTTCACACTGAACATGTAAGACAAAGACAGATTCCCACCCAGATTCTACAACCACAGACTCCAGAAAAGATTTGCTGTGGAACTAGTAGGAGATATGGGGAGTTTGAGACACAAACATACTTTCTTCTCCAATGCTGAAAAGATGAAAATATACTGTGACAGATATTGGGGG